TAAAGTCTGACTTCATTATAGATCAATATTGGTAGGAGAGGATGGCTCGCAATGACAGACTTCCTCCAGACTTTGACGGATGAAAGCTGAAAGAATGAAGGTGCTATCTGGATACGAGTCACAGCTCAACAGAGATAAGCAAGCAACTGGTGTTTTCATGGTTTCCAATTGGATGAGAGAAACAGTGGTGGAAACACTGGTTGATGACTTGAACAAGGACCCTGGTACGGACACATTACTCACGAATCTCGACAGTGTGTTTCTTGAAGAAAAAGACCAGACCTATGATGTTTTTTGCCTTGAGAAGATAACGACAGACCCCAGTGTAACTGTGACAAACTCTACCATGGACTTTGAACAATGATACAGTCATACGTGGACGTACAAGATGGAGCTTCCCAGTGTAGTCTTGGCTTTTAAATCATTAGATGCTGCATGTTTGGATGCTAAAGTCTTTACAGCATGTTCAGATCTGACTTTTACATTTATGAAGTCGACTCTAAAAAGGATATTTGGAGGAAAATCAGAGTCCCAAGTAGGGGAATTAACCAAGAAATGGTAAATATCCCAAAGCAAAAGCGACAGAAAGGCTGGCCACTGGCACAAAGGGATCAGGAAGAAACCCACTGTTTGGCTGCAGTACTAAATGTGCAGTTTATCCGTCTGTTTTTCACTGGGTTAAAGACTGTCCACAAAGGTGAGCAAGTCAAGATAACTGACACAGATAAAGGTGAAGAGTGTAATCCCTCCGTCTGTAACCAAAGAGTGAGGCAGGAATCCTTGTGACAGTGCTTTGGGACCACATCACTGAGCAAAGCCAGAAAGAACTGAGAGCACTGAAGAAAACAGAATACAGTATGAAGTACAGTATATTATTCGTATTGTATTCTAATTTTTGCTTCATAACTTTTGCACTGTCCACTTCCTGCTGTGACAAAACCAATTTCCCACGTGTGGGACTAATAAAGGTTATCTTATCTTATCTTATCTTAGCTTAGCTTAGCTTAGCTTAGCTTAGCTTAGAAACACCCAACTGAAAACTGGTGTATTCAACAATAAAGGTGAAAATTACAACAAAAACTGGTGAGACCAAATGTCTCTTAAGATCTTCTTTTCCAGAGCCTGAAACACAGCAGACACGTTTGTTAATCCAGGAGTATTAAAGGTCTGAGACTCGTGGCCCTCCTGGATGCAGAGATGAGGCTTTTATTTTTCTTTTCTATGTTAGGAAGTTCCAATACTTATGAACATTCAGTCACATATGAATACAATTCTCTTCATGTTTAATTCAGTTTATGCAGTTTTACTTCAGTTACATCTATCATTAGCCCATTCTCACATGGCCTGGGGTCTTGGGGGTCCTTCAAGGTATCTTTGGTTCTCCAAGGACTACGCTTGTTCTGAATTTATAACTTACACTGGCTTATACAGTTTTATAAACTGTCCTAGAGCTCCCTCTGGTGGCTGCTTTGTAATATTATTTTGATTACTTTGGAAAAAGAAAAATAGAGAAAGCGGAAAATCCAAGATGGCTGAACGCCAAAGTATTACTGTTTCAAGCTGACATGGACCTTAAAATGTTGCTTTGGACGAGATTTGTCCAAAAATAATAATCGTCTCTTTGTTTTATTTACAAATTGTATAATAATTTGTACGTGTGAGTTATGAAAGTTTTTCTTGTCAGCTCGCAGTAAGCGTGTAACAAGCTAGTTTGCGATGGTAGTTAGCTGATGCAATAATTTGTATGTTTTCAGTTTTACAATAGTCAAAGAGAAGGCGATGATCAGAGGCCATTCTTCAATAAATCAGCACAAAAAAGGAAAATAAGTCTGCTTACTGAAGCATTATCTTACTGTCCAGCCGGTGAAAACAAAGGACGAGGAC